ATCGATTTTTTGTCTCTCCCGAACAATTTCAAAAATAGGCACCTTTTCACCCTTAGGTGACGATATGTCAATTTGTTGAAAAAATATGAAGGTAAAACGTTTATTTACTTATTTTTGCGTATCCAATGCAGCGTCGTGAATAATTTTTAGAGTGAAATATTCAGCTTTAAACATCAAAATTTGATACAGAATTCACTCAAATATCAAGAGTAATCAAAAGTTCCACACTTATCGATAAGGAGAATTCATATGCATATGTATGTGTGTATGTATGTATATAAATTCGCCTTGCTTGTCGATATCTCAGTGTAACATGCGCAAACTTGCGGAAAATTTTTTTGTTCAATATAGATATGCATGTTGCAAAACATTTTTATTCACATTTCAAAAATTCCCTTCATTTTAAGATACATATATGCCTTTTCCTTACGCACGCATTTTTAGAGCTGGAAATCCCTACAAGTGAGAAATTTTCCCTACATGTGGCATCAGTGGCATCAGCTTAGAAATCCAACGGAGAATCACTTTTGAAAACAATTGCTACTTTAGACTAAATAGGCAATTGACAAGTAAAGCATTCTCCCGTCAATAAGTCCCTCTTCATCATGATGGGGGGTTCTTGGAATTTTCGAGAAAAAGATTCTATGGAAGATTTACGGGCACTTGTGCAATGACGTTGGCTAATACCCCAGCTGCATGAGCTTTACAACGATATGGACATAGCACAGCAAATTTAATACAGCCGCTCCGTCCAGGGTACGAAAAAATTTTGCCTATTTTAAATCTTAACAAGCGAACTATGGACAGAACTTTTGCACATTATTGCGAATCAACAGATTAAAACCAGAGAAGCATGTATATACTTTTTTCTTTTATGGTGTATTTATACATTTTCTTTAATGCTGCAGAAAAATCTAAAATTTGTTTAAACAGTGGACTGATAACATCTGCATTCTAAGCCGACGATATGAGTAGATACGTTGCATTATTTTTAAGTTGATCTCTGTGATGTTATAGATCCTAAGATTACTGCTTGTAGTTTCGAAATATGCCTCTCGAGTTCATCTGAAATGAAGGAAGATTGGGAACGTCACTTACTTAAATTTGTGTTTACATTTCTAATTTCATTCACAACATTATACCTTTTTCTGTGATAATTCTGCTACTTTCCGCATTACTTTCATCCACTGACATATCGTCTTTGAGAAAATCTTTTAATTTCGGAAGAAATAAAAGCAAACAAATTACTCCAATAAATTTCACAATCTTTTTGAATACCAGCAGCTTTAATATTATCTTGCCGAAAGCAAAAAGATTTATTTTTTTCTTTAATTTTTCTATAATCCAATGTTCTCTTGGGTTATATGAGGATACAGGTTGGTGAAAGATCTGTGGCGCGTGCGCTGTATTTAGTGGTCCGTATATTGGCAGGGGATGCGGAGGTGCGTAATTGTATCCCACGTTATTGTCTGGAAAAGAGAGATTTCTCAATAAGGGTAAATAAGAAAATTACTCAGTCTAAACAATTTTACTGGATTCCCCAAATCCCTTAATAGAATATCTCTTTCGTCTCAATTGGCGATTTATTAGCGTTGTTTAATAGCATATGAATGGTTGAAAAGATAAAATCCGTAGAAATTCTATTCACGGACTCGAAATTAAAACCTCCAATGAAATTTACAATACATAATGTATAGAATTGACAACAACATAAATATATAATATAAGTAGCGGCAAATCAGCTGCACTTGATAGTAGTTGGTTGAATAAGGAAAATGAATTAGCAGCAAGAGTTTACGGGGTGTACATAACTCAGTCGTTAGCGCTTCTGACTTTGAACATCGATTACGCAGGTTCGATCCCTGCTGAAGTCTAGAAAAAAGAAGTGTGATGAGGAGATGTGGTGATCTCCGAAATAGCTGCTATAACCTCTACCGCTTAGAGTTTGTTGCTTTTTCAATTTTTCCTAATAAGCAATCGTGGTACACAGCTCAATAAAAATATTAGAAATTTACTGTTGTTTTTTCTGAATACAGTTTTGGTGCACTGTTCATTATTTCAGGTGCTCCCAAACTTTTAAGATAATGGAACACGCTATAAATACCTTTCATTTTTAGAACCGACGTCGAATTATTAAAAATCAAAGGCACTGCAATTTAAATATGAATAAAAACTTTTACTAGAAGTAGTATATGTACATTAGGGTAGTCCAAAACAAGTAAAGTCTGAAGTTTAATGCTCTCACCCCTAGGATTGTTCTACATCGAAAAAGTATACCCCTATTTTCTTATTTTGAATTAAAAAAATATTTAGAGTTCGTCCAAATTGCTCAAAGTTGCCCATGTATTTTATATGGGAAAAAAAGGCTTTTCGTAGAAATGGTATAGAATTCTTGAAAATCAACATTTTTCTGGTTCTCTTCAAGAGGCTTCCAATAACGATACCCAATTGTTTATTTAACCATTTTTTAATATTAAAGAGTTTGCATTCATGCCCCCATTGCATTTTCTGGGGATTTTGGCGGGCCTATAAAATATAGTTACTATGAAAAAATGGCTAAATCAATATTTCGGCATTATTATTGGGAATCCGATCGAAAAATATTAATTTTCATGAATTCTAGCTTCCAATTTCGTCCTGAATATGTTTTTTGTATATGTGTAAGCTGAAAACTTCTGTTCACAACAATACGTTGGTACAAAAGGAAGAAAAGTTAAGATAGCCTTATTACCTACTTCATGGTATTTCCTCCTAACACTAACCCAAAACTCGTTTACACAGGTAATTCAGAAGTTTAATTTCAATCTTCTTAAGGATGATAATTTGCCTCTCGCCATAAATGCGGTTATTGATCATCCTTGCTAAAATGTAGTAGTTTCACTACTCTTTCTAAAAATGATGGCAAGATAAGCTAATTTAATAAGCCGGAAATTCAAATGATAATAATAATAATTTGGCG